CAGGGTCTCCTGTAGCTCAGGATTGCTTCAAACTCAATATGTAACCAAGGATGGTCTTGAACACCTGACCATCCTAGAGTATAGGCATGCGCCACCATGCCTGCCTTTATGCAATGTCTGTTCTGGGGATAAGATCCAGGGCTTGGCTTTGTGCATGCTGCACAAGCATTCTGCCAAAAGATCACATCCTCTCTTCCTCTCTACAGCATCTTGCTAGGACTTATCCAGTTTAAGTTTCCAGTAGAATTCATATGTTGAGGCCAGAAATACTCACCTGGAAGCTAAGCAAAAAGGGAGCAAATTGGTGTTAATAAAAAAGAAAATAGAATTTGCTTCTAAACAATATGAAGAAAGATTAACATTAAACTATCTGACTTTAGGAGCGATATCGGGCTTTAGCAATCACCATAGGGTGTGGGAAGCAAGAGAAGAGAGCACTCACTGCTTTGCAGTTTCATTCAGAACCTGTCCACACAGATGCCAGAAGTTTTCTCTTCTATCATCTCAATATTATTTCCTCTATCCCTCTTTTTCCCATGTTAGGCTCAAATACTAACAGTTCTTGCCCACTGAAGTCAAAGAGGCTTCTGCAGGAAGCCTCTCTACTTGGCCAGAAAAGAACTCCAAATAAACAGAAAGCTGCATCCTAGTCTGGGTCCTCACAATATGCTAATTTTTGAGTTTCTTTTTTATCAATGAGCTATATACATACAATGTGTGGATCCTAAGAACTCAGTGCAGTGAATACATGCACATAAGCAATAGGCACTCCCTTATCAAGATATTGACATTTTAGACAAGGGGAGATAGCTCAGCTGGTAGAGTGTCATAGACAAGTATGAGGACCTGAGTTGACTCACCACCCAGGTAAAATGCCAGAGATAGTACTGGCCTATAATCCCATTACTGACAGGTAGAAACAAATGTATCCCTGGAGTTCATTGGTTTGCTAGCCTAGCCAAATCAATAAGACTCCTGTGAGCGACATTGTCTCAATAAAACAAGTGGATGGCTCCCAAGAAAAACCCCTGCACACAAAGACACACACATACACCTATACTCACACATATACCTGCACACACACACACACACACACACACACACACACACACTGACATTTTGGTCCCCTACACCCTCTTCCCTTTTCAGAAAGTGATGCATCCCACAAGGACAGCCATTATTCTGATGTCTGTTGCCACAGATAGTGTCGCCCGCTCTTGCTCTTTATAGGAATGTGATTAGAGTATGTTATATATAGGCAGATGGCTCTTCTACACACTATGTTATTTCTAGTTTCTTTCACACAGCAAAATCATTTTGAGATTCGCCCTTTATTGCCTGGCCATGGTTAGGTAACATTTTTTCCCCTCTAGTTTCATTTTCTAATTTTTCTCTTTATCCCAGGTTTTCAATGTGATTTAAAGGCCAGTGATTCTGCTGCAGAAAGCAAGAAGCCTCTGACTGAGGCCCTACCCCAATAGCCACTGGGCCCCCTCCTTCCACAGCTCATCCAGTTCATGTCCCTGATGAACATCCTGAAAGAAGTCACCCAGCTGTTTCTTAGTCCCAGGGCTGGTGTATGGTTTTGGATGTGTGTTGACAGCTGATACTTATTTACTGTATAAATATAATTTATCATTTGTATTATGAAAAAAAAGAAGTGCGATTTAAAATGTCTCACTGTGACTTTCTAAGCCTTATTGGTTTAAAGTAAAATTTAAAAAAAAATCTTTTTTTCCCTTTAAATCGGTGTTGACCCGGAGAGATTGCTCAGCAGTTAAGACCACCTCTGCTCTTACAAAGGACCTGTGTTCTGTTCTCAGCATCCATATGGCAGCCCACTACTATCACTGAGCCAATGAGTTTGGATGGTTTTTATTGTGATGCATGCCCATTTGCTGTCTTTCCCTTATGGAGCTTCAAATTCTGTTAAATCCAGTGAACTTTCTGTTTCAGATATTTTATTTTTAGATCATTGTTTCTTTATTTGATTATTTTAAAAAATAATCTTTATTGTTCTGCAGAGGTATTCTGACTGTTCTATTTGGATTTCTTTTGCTGTGATGAACATTGAGATTGAAGGTGGGATGTGGGGAGGCTTATTTCATCATTGTGGAGAGTAAAGCAGAAACTCGAGACAGGAACGAAGGGAGAAACCATGGAGGACCTCTACTCTCTGCCTTGTTTCTCTGGCTGCCTCAGCTACCTTTCTTATACAGCACGGGCCTACTTGTCTGGGGATAGCACTGCCCCTAGTGGGCTGGGTTCTCCTGCATGAATTAGCAATGAAGAGAATGAACCACAGACATGCCCACTGGTGAGGCCAATGGAAGCAATTCCTGAATTGAGGCTCCCTCTTCCCAGGTATGTCAAGTTGACAACTAAAGGTGACTGACACATTTGTTTGTGCATTGTATCATCTTTACTCTTAAATCCTTGAACTTTTTTTATTGGCAATTGGTAATTCTTGTCTCCTACTTTAAACACCTATATTATCTTTAGGTGTGCTTCTATTGATGGGGGTGGGGCTAAGGGATCCTTCTTTTCTTGCCTTGTTTTCATTTTACTGTAACATCTGTGATTTCTTATTGTTGGCTGAAGGCAGTGCCTTTGAATGTTCTAGGTGAGTTTTAGCCTTGTTAGCATGTGTCTGTAGAAGCACTTACCCCAGAAAAAAGGCAGCCCAGGCTTAAAGCATGATCATCCTGCTTTCTGCATGCAAGGCTGAGGCACTCCCCAAGAGTTTTATACCTTGGTTGACTGGACCTTTGAAGAGTGTCAGCACAATCCAACCTCTGGAATCTTCACGATGCTCACTGGATATTTCACAGCTGGCCTGAGAGAGTCTTACCCTATCAGTGTGCAGCAAAGCCTTAGGCTGAAGTTTTAAGATGTCTAGGAATTGCTTCTTGAGCCATGTTTGTGTGTGACCGGAATCCTGTTCAATATGCTCCAAATGTGCCAGAAGTCACAAACCTTGTTTGAGGTTTTCGGCCAGATACAAGTCTTTCTGCTTCTGCTTCCAGTTAGCAGCAGTGTAAGAAGTTCCCCTGGCGGGGGGGGGGGGGGGGAGAGAGAGAGAGAGAGAGAGAGAGAGAGAGAGAGAGAGATTGAAAGAGAGACAGAGAGACAAAGACAGAGGGACACAGAAACACAGAGAGACACAAACACAAAGAGACAGAGAAAAAGAGACAGAGAGAGCCTAATGTGGTGACTTGAGTTATTTGCTCTATCTATCTATCCATCCATCCATCCATCCATCCATCTATCTATCTATCTATCTATCTATCTATCTATCTATCTATCTATCATAATCTTTATATAACCTACCCTTTATGTATTCATGTATCTAAACTATCTGTGTATATATGCATGTATCTATCATCTATCTATCTATCTATCTATCTATCTATCTATCTATCATAATCTTTATATAACCTACCCTTTATGTATTTATGTATCTAAACTATCTGTGTATGTATGCATGTATCTATCTATCTATCTATCTATCTATCTATCTATCTATCTATCTATCATCTATCTATCTATCATCATCTATCTATGTATCTATCATGTGTCTTTCTATTATCTATAATCTGTCATCTGTCATCTATTTTCTGTTATCTATCTATCTATCTATCTATCTATCTATCCATCCATCTGTCTATCCATCTGTCTACCTCGTGTCAGAAATGTGGTATCACCCCTGTCTTGTCCTGACTATAGCTTGATGTCTACCTCGCCTTTCAACATCTATCTAATTATTCTATAATAATTTATATGTGTCTATCTTCCCCCAGAAGTGAATTGGCTGTGTCTAGTGATTTGTGTGTCTTTAGTCCCTTCTCTACATTTATGAGAGGAGAAACCTCATCCCACAGGTAAGTAAGTTATCTAAGAAAAGCACAAGGTTCTGATGCGCATGTTCAATATTGTTCTGTAATCAAAGAACACAATAAAAAGAGAAGTGAAAGAATAATTTGTGAACCTATCTGTAATCTCAAGAAATGAGTGAGCAATTATCACCAAGGACTGGAAATCACCACTGAGACTGCTAACTGCTAGGCCATAAGGACAGGAGTTAGAGATTATGGTGGTTTGAACGAGGATGCCCCCCCCCAATAGGCTCTCTTATTTAAGTGTTTGATTCCCAGTTGATGGATTGTTGAGGAAGGATTAGGAGATGTGGCCTTGTTGGAGGAGGTGTGTCACATGGGGGTAGACTTTGAGATTTCAAAAGTCCATGCTGGGCCCAGCCCTGTGCTCCCTCTTTGCCCCCTGCTTGCAGGTTGAGATATAAGCTCTTAGCTATTCCTCCAATGCCATGCCTGGAGCCTGCCACACTCACTGTCATGATGAACATGGACTAACCTTCTGAAACTGAAACTAAAACAAGCTTCCAGTCAAATGCTTTGTTTTGTAAGTTGCTTTGGTCATGGTGTCTCTTCATAATAATAGAAAATTAACTAGGACAGAGATCTAAACAAGAATGTTTAGAACCACCTTTAGCAGAGTACTAAAGACTGATAAAGATTACCATTTAAATCAGATTCAAATACAATAACATTTGGAAGAAAGAATTTGATGAACATCCCTCCCCAATAAGATCTGAGAATCAGGAGGTATAACCCAGAAAGAAGGGTAAACCTTTCTCTTTCCACTTCACAGGACCTAGACAAAGCCTTTGGGTTTGCTTTGGGAATCCCAGTAAAGGATAAATGGGTAAATCTTGAAGGCTCTGGAGCCTTGTGCTATCCCTTTGGGGTCTAAGTCTTTATTCTCATCACTTGAGAATTCAAATTATGTCCTGACACTGTAGATTAACCAGGCTTCCATGGCATGATAAAGATTATAAACTAGTCATGTGATTGAGGAAGCCCTGAAAGGACCGCCTAGCCTTTCTTCATGTTGGTTGGCTGTAGTCATAACAACCGTTTCTGCTAGACCAAAGTTCGGCTTCTGCATGCCTTTATGGCCCTGTTCACAGTTCAATGTTCAATAGCATAAAACTTCCCAGTAAGACACAGGTTTTACATTCACAACCAAGTGCTAGCTAGGCTTCCTCTCTAAACACTGGATCCCAAATGAGAAGGCCCCCAAATATTTCTAGACTGCTGTTGTTTTATCCCAGGGAGCTTTCTTCCTGAGAAAATGCCAACCACACAGAAAACGTTGATGTTCCTGTCTGGCTTTCTTACAAGCCTGGGCTCTATTGTTGTCATCTGCTCCATTCTTGGGACACAGGCATGGATCACCAGCACAATTTTCTTCACAGACGCTATCTCCAATGGGACCATTGTTATCACCTATGGGCTTTTTCGTGGTACAAGTTCTCAAGATTTGAATGAAGGCCTTCAAGAGCTGGACAAAAACTTTGAAGGTAAATGACCCCCCAATTTGAATGGGAATAACAGGAATGGGTAACACACACCACTCTATATTTGGGCTAAATAATCATTCAAAACTAATCTCTTAGAAATCCCAAGTTAGGCTATCACTGGACTAACTCATAATTTTGAAGGTGTTTATTTTGTTTTCGGACTCATTGTTCCAATTATCTTGTTATCTTTGGAGTCTACGTCATTCTATCGTCAGGTGGGCTTGAATGGCACCTATCCGGTTTATTGACAAATGGATAATTAAGTTGAAGTATGTCACAGGCTTATGGTATTTAAGAGCCAGCAGAAACAGCATTTTAAATGACATTGACCATGGGTTTTGACTTGGGGGATCCAGCTCCTTACAGAAGTTCGTAAGTAATCACACAGGGAAAATGTAAAGGAGAAAACAGCGACATCCAGTAATTTTCTCAGCTTCTTGAATTTACACTTTTATATTCAAAATATCTCATCGTTGGAAGTGATATTTAATTCCTATTAATCTTATTACTTTTAGGATTTCCTGTTTGCTACTCATTTCTGATGTAGTAATGTCTTGCTCTCAATAAATACAAAATAAGCTCCCGAGGATAAGTGCATGCAGCTAGTTGAGTTTTGGATTTCGAGATCTCGCATTATGGTTCTTGAAAGGTAATAGCCATAATCATTCATTACATGGCATATGAATGCACTTTACATCAAGCAGTGCAGGCTTTGTACAGCTGTTTGGGGGCATTTACATTTCTAACTATGCACCCTAAGCCTGTGTAATGTTTGGTGCCCGTGCTCCAGGAGAGAGTTCTAGCTGGTTTATGATTTTGTTAATAAAATGGTTTCTATAAAACCGGGGCAATGTATCTCTAAGCTCTCACTGTGTCTTTGAGTGGTAGGAAAAGCACATCTTCCCTGAGGTTTCAGCTGCTTCCCCCTCCCCTGGTGCCAGCCACAGCCTTTCAGGATCATGAAGAGACCTTTACAACAACCAGGAGCTCAGATTTCAAAGTTGCCTTCAGCTCTCGGTAATATCATTTTTCAAAACCAAAAAAAGTAGGCTTGTTTGTGAATGCTCTGGTGCATGTAAGTGCTTGGGACAGAAGTCTACAATGCTAACTTGGGATCAGTTGATTCCATCTAGAGATTGATGACCTTAATGGAAGCCCTGAGTCTCTAGTCAAGGAGGCCCAGAGAAGGACAGGGAAGGTCAGGCCTACATGACTGGGAGTGACCATTCTGGTGTCTGGAGAGGAGGGACAGCCACAGTCAGGGGGAGCAGAGCTTAAGCTTAAGATTAGTACCAGTTGGGCCCTTCCCTTCAGTGTAGAAACAGGCTGAATGCTTGTGCTGCCTGTGCCTGACTCTCTGTTTTTACCCTTTGCTACTGGAAAGCCACACTGTAACACACACACACACACACACACACATACACACACATCCCATTGCTACAGAACCTCCCATTGCTACAGAGGGTCAACACAACAACTACCCAGTGGAGGAAGATGTTACACAATTTCTGGATGGTATCTAAGGGCTACTCAGAGACTATGGGATTTTTCCATACCTGTGACTGTGGTAAGCACTGAACATGTAAACATTTCTCCCAGACAAGAAGTCATGTCCAGACTTCATGTCTTCATGTCTTCAGAACATGTAGGCAATGCTAAGGATCTCCTGCTGCTTACCCTGTCAACAGAATCCAGTATTTACGGTAAGACATGATGCTCTCCTGCCAGTAAGCCAGAGTTGCTATGAACATCATGAGCCAGTCATTGGTAGCAAAATTAAACCTGCATAAAATTAATCTGCATTGTCCTGTTCAACATTTAGAGATTGATGCATCCCCTTGAGAAGCCAAGTGTGTTAGCTTTTTGGCTAAGACCAGGACACACTAAAATCCTCAGGCAGTAGTTCGTATTACCAGGCCCTGCACAGGGGTCTGATATCTTGTGTCTATTCGGACTACAGGGCTCTCAGTGAGAGAGCAGACTGGACAATAAATAGCCTTTGATTTAAAGGATCAAATCCATCCAGCCAACCAGAGGTCAATGAATGGAGATGACACCCAGTCAGCCCTAGTCAGGAAACCTTCTGTTGTGGAACCTGGCTGACAATGAGCTCAGGCTGGCTAGATTGGTCCTGGTTTGTTTACTATCCAGATAAGTGACTGTTTAGCTCTAGCTGTGAGTGGATGGTCTTTACTACAATAAAGTGCCAGATGTATAATTTCAGCTTGAAATATTTGCCATAGGGTGAAGGTCTTAGACTTAGATACTGATAGGATTTGCATACACTTCCTATAGTGACACACTCCCTGTCTAGGGCAAGGGGACACTCCTCCTCCACTGAAGGACACTGCCCTGCGCCCATACAAGTCTCCACAACAGCTGGAGGTTGGGTGGGGACCACAGCTCTGTGGATTCCTAGGAGGACCTTTGCTCACACTCACAAAGGTTTGCCTCCCCTCTTCCCCCAGTTTGGCTCTTGGGTGCTTTATAACAGGTTCCTGAATGAAGTCATTCCCTTGACTCTGAGAATGCTATCAGGGCCTAAGGAGCATGACATGTACTATTTCCCCAGACTGGCAGGAATGGGACAGTGTGTCACTTGGATGTGGCATCCCTCCGAATGACATCTCCAGTAGTACTCAGCCTACACCCTGACCCAACCAAGAATCTTTACAGAATCACTTTGGTATTTCAATGAATGGTGTTTCTCTTCCTATGGCACTAGGTCTCTTTGATCTTGGTCCCTCAGTTGAGAGCCACATTAGCATGGCACTGGCTCTGGCCTGGAGATGCAATCTCCTGGATGCTGCAAAGAATCTGTGCACTTGATCTTCTATGCCAATGAGTAGAATTTCAGATTCAGGTCCCATTCCTCTTGTCTAAAAACAAAAACAAAAGAAAACAAAACAAAACCACCACCAACAAAAAACCTTACTGGGTGCACTATTTTCCATGTAGCTATGACAAAATGCCAGAGACAAATAATTTAAAGGAGGGAAGTTTTCCTTTTAGTTCATGGTTTCAGAGGGATTTCAGCCCATTGTAGTGGGAAAGGCATGGCAGAACCTTGTGTGAGACAGTTTCCTCACACGGTGTGGTTCAGATAGCAGAGGGCACAAGTTGGAACCAAGAGTGGGTATAACCTTCAAAGGCCTAACCCTAGTAATCTATTTCTAGCAACTAATCTGTGTCTCTAGAAATTTCCACTGTCTTACAGTGACTTAAGCTGCAGTCTGGACTTTGAAAACTTGACCTGGTGGCGAACATTTTAGTCACTCTATAACATCAGATGTGATGGATAACATTGATTATCAACCTGACAGAAACTAGAGTTACCTAGGAGACAAGTCTCTGGGCATGTCTGAGAGGGATTTTCTGTATTGGGTTAATGCAGGTGGGAAGATCCACCCTGACTGTAGGTGGTGACATTTGGGCTGAGGTCTTAGACTACATAACACGGAGAAGGTGAGCTGGTCACTCTTCTTCCATGAAATTGCTGTTGTTGAGCACTCTGCTGTAACCATGAAAAAGGTGACCAATACGCTAGGTGATTTTAGGACAAACCAATTGTAATTCTGACTCAGGGATGGTGGTCCACAGCTTTCCCTTGGCCAGATACTAGGTTGACAGGAACACTGAGCATTACTTTCAAGCCCTTTGGTGGCAGGCTGCTTGGAGTTGATTTATTGGAGACAGCTCAAGACACAAGCTTCCCAATGAACCAAAGGAGGCTGGGGACAAGTGTCAGGCTCGGTGGTCTCTGCGTGTTGCACTTAGGCCAAAGACTATCACCAGTGGGTTGTCATCTGATCTGGCTTCTCCTCAGCCGCCACTCTCCACTGGTTTCTTTCTTTCCTGTGACCTCAACATAGTACTGTTAAACAGAACTGTAATCGAGGCTAGAAATACAGCACAGAAAAGAATGGCAACATAAAAAATCAAATGGAGCTGATGTCTTGAGAATGTGTGAAGATGCCCTACCTCCCTACTGACTTCACCTCATGTATCAGGATGTGTTTCCTGGAGGAGGGCTACTTATGCTCTTCCCTTCTCAGAGATGTCAGCACATTGGAAGGAGGAGTTGGTGAGAATGGAGACAAGCAAACCAGAGAGGGCTTAGCCACTTTTCTCCCACGACAATCTTGGCAACTGTCCAAGAGGCTGAGGTGCTAGTTGTGACTTCCCCGGAGGGCTCAGGCCATGCTCTGAGATCTGTCAGTACTGTGATGTCCACTAATAGGAGCACAACACTGGGTCAGGTCTCTGGTGGCCAGGTGTCTGAGGTGGGAACAGAATCTGTTCCCACTTGAAGAACCAGTTTTAGTTACTTGTGTCAAAGGCAATTTAAAGAAGGAAGGGTTTGTCCTGCTGGTCATATTACCTCTGCAAGCAGGATAGAGAGAGGGGGTAGGGGGAGAGAGGGAGACAGAGACAGGCCAAGATAGAGGCAGACAGAGAAATGGAGAAAGAGAGACAGAGTCGCAGAGACACAGAGAGACAGACAGACAGAGACAGACAGCAAGAGGTATGTGCTGGTACTCAGCTTGCTTTCTCCTTTTTATTCAGTCCAGGACCTCATCTCATGAAACATTTAAGGTGGCTCTCTACATTTAAGGTGGATCCTCCCACCTCAACCCAATCTAGAAACTCCCTAACAGTCATGCAAAGAGGTTTATTACCCTGTAAGTCGACAGCGTCAACCATCATACTCAATGACTATGGACTTACAGAAAACAAGACCTGGAGGTGGAGGGCAGTTGGAAGGCAGGACCTGGATGGCTAAATCTTACCCAGAGGGGAGCTGGGTGTCTGGATGCCCAGCTGAGGCATCTACTGGCTGGGTGCTCATCTCTGTGCCTCTTTCTGGGGCCGCCAGAATCAGGGCAATTAGCTCCAATTGTGAGGGGACTCCTGATGCAAAAGCTTGTCCCATGAAAGAAAGAAAGAGAACAGCACGTATCTGCTAATTTTATGGGGAGGGAGCAGCTGTCAGATGCTGCTAGGGTTATTGTTACTGCACTCTTGCTAACGCTCATCAATCCTTCAGCTATCATTGTCTGAGTTCTGAGGCAGGAGCTGAAAAGACATAGCTGTCATATCTAGGTGGCAGGGAATTCAGAAATAATTTTTTATAGTGCAGCAGTTAAAATTAAGACGAATCCCCCCCAAGTATGTAGAAAACTATGAGTCAGCAGCCCCAAAATTAACTCTCTTTAGAAAATTATGTCTGCTAAATCTTATTGAAAGTCAAGGCAGAGCTGAACTTGATTGTCATCTTCTTTTTCTTTTTGGTTCTGTGGGTGTCACGTGTCTGTGTGTTTGCACGTGTATGTGCAAGTGCTTGTGCATGGGTATGCACATATACATGGGAGCCAGAGGTCAATATTGTATGTTCCCCAATTTTCTCTTATCTTTTTTTCTTAATGTTATGTGTATGTATGTGTGCTTGTACAAGTTTATGTGTGCCACATGAATGGAGAAGCCCAAGGATGCCAGAAGAAGGTATTGGCTCCCCTGAAATGGGAGATTCCATATAGGTGTTAGAAACTGTTGTCTACACAGTAAACATTCTTAACTGTTGAGCCGTCTCTCCAACCTCCTCCATCTTGCTTTTTGAGACAAGTTCTCTAATGGAACCTGGGCTCACTGATCCTGCCAGGCTGGCTGGCTAGCAAGCTCCAGGTATGCTCTTGTCCCTCTTCCCCAGGGGTGGGATTACAGGCTTCTTTTAAAAACATGGGTTCTGGGGAGATTGGACTCAGGCTCTTATGTCTTCAGGGCAAGCGCTTCATACACTGAGCCCTTCATGGTCACTTTTTAATGTAATATTATTCCACTTGCAAATGAACACCCACTTAGAGCTGAAGTCAGAGTGGGAGGCAGAGACACTCAGAGAATTCTCAGTGTTTGGGACACAGAACATGTTCCTCACACTCAAGTTTCTGTTTTTGACTCAAGCATTTAAATTATTTCCTTGATTACAGAACTCTGCCAAGGAGAAAGAGAGTTATTTTGTCCCCAGGCAATTTCCCTTGAGATCAAGGACGTTTCCTCCTGCCCTGGCTGTTGGGGAAGAGGAAGTGGATCCACCTTGACAGGATGAATGACTGACATAGCCACAGGAACCAGCCCGGACCTCTGGCTGGGTGTGTCTCCCTAGCTCTGTTGCTTTTTCCTAGTCTTTCTGACATCACCTGCCTCCAGTTTCAAAATCAGCATAGGCCAAGTTAGTACAAGCAAAACCTCCCAAACATGACATTTCCACAGAGCATGGAGAAGCAGGCAAGAGACTCCTGTTGGTTAAGTCAGGGACAAGTGAAGCCCCAGCCTAGATCTTTGAGAGCCTCACTTGGGGTACAGAGCAGAGGATGTAGGCTTGGATCCATCCACCCAAGGGGTCACTGACAGAAGTCATTGAAGAGTTCAGTCACCATAACGACGAGGAGGCGTTGCCTATGGAAGCTGAGCTTTGCCCTGTGCATCTGAGGAATGAAATGTTCTACACCCAGGGTGGCAGGTCATGGTCCACTTGCTGCAGAACTTGTTTCTCTTTTCTTGGGGTTCGCAAGGGATACATGTCTACCTTTATCACATGCTGAAGCTATGCCCCTCATCCCTGCACATCCCTTCACCCTTTCAGCCAGTGCACCGTGTTGCTGTTGCCTTCAGGCCTCTCCCTTGCAGGAGGCGCCTGCTCCGGGCTCAGCCCCTCACTACTCAGGATACCTTCTCCCTCTTCATGGGGACTTCTGCCACCACCCAATATTTTGATCACAACCCCTTTACACCTACTTTGTCTAGTAGGAGGACATTGCAGATTTAGATAAAGAAATAGGAGGACTTAAAACTGAAGATGTCTTGTCCACCACATATTGTTTAGCCCCAAGTCTCCCAACCTCTGACTCTTCCAGTCTTTCTGCCTTTTCTTCCTCCATGAAGAAAAACCTGGCTTAAAAACAAACATTTTTATTTATTTACATTGTAAGTGTATGTGTAAGTGAATGTGCGTGCGTGGGTGTGTGCGTGTGTGTGTGTGTGTGTGTGTGTATGTGTGTGTATGTATGGGTACATGCACACACAGAGGTTAGAGGAAAAACTCATGGGGTTCAATTTTTTTCTTTATGCATTCAGGTCCTAGGGATTGAAGTTCAGCTAATGCCCTTGGTAATAAACAGCGTTATCCATTGTGCCACATTTGCTGGCCCCAAGCCTGGGTTTTAATGGTACCATTACATTCATTTGCTTCATCTTCTGATATTTATAAAAATGCTTTTATTAATGATATGATTGCTGGAGACATTTTAAGATTAAAAACATTATTTTGTTAAACAATATGTTTTCACCCAAACAGGAGTGAGTACATACATATCCTTACCTAAGGTAGATGTGAGATCCTGGGGTCCTGTGTAAGATCACTCAGAGTCACAGTTCAAAGACAAGAAATGGAATCACCTCAGTGAAGACAATGCCTTCAAAAATATATATTTATTTCATTTTACATTTTGCCTGTAAATATATATGTGTACCATGTGCCTATGGAAGCCAGGAGGTGTTGACTCCTCTGGAACTGGAGTTCCAGATGGTTGAGAGCAGAAATCAAACTCATGTTCTCTGCAAAAGCAACTGGTGCTCTTAACTACTGAGCCATCTCTCCACCACCCCAGCACCATTTCTTACGCAGTCACACAGAGTCTCCTGTTTTCCTTGAATGATCAGAAAGAAGACACGGGTGCTCAGTGTGTAGTTCTACAGTGATCGTCAGAGCAGGGGGAGGGAGGAAGTCCTGGGCCTTCAGAGCAGGGCTCCATGGACAGAGAAGGGAAGGAGAGGGATGACTTGCAAAGAGAGGGTACTGGTGGCACATGGTAGGGTATGGTTCAGCAGATGTGTTGCCATTTCTACTGTCCCCTGGGAATGCCCAGCACACACAGTCCTGGAAATTAAGTATCCAGGTCTACCTGGTTAGTTCATCTTCTTTAAAGTTACACTGAGCTAAGGCTTTGACAGTCTCCACATAAAAAACAGGAGGAGGAAGAAAGCCTTTGGCTAGTTTCTTCCTCACACCTCTTTTTTTATGCTAATGCTGTTATAGTCAGCACCACAATCTGTTTCCATTGGGGTTTTCCACTGGGCTTCACAGACTATCTCTAAACACACACAGTAACAACCACTGGAAAACCTCATTGTACTTAGGAAGAGCACCCCTGTCATGTCTGGGCTTTCGTGTGTGAGTAGAACAGGAGGTGGAGGAGCGAGGTGCACTGGAGAATGACCACTAGAGCTCAGAGGCTCTGAGGAGCTGATGGCTCACAGCGCAGGGCATCTCCATTAGTGCAGATACACTCTGGAGCTTCTTTGCATTTAAGATGTGCAAATGCTATTGTGTAAAGTGCTTTCAGCTTGAAAGGAAGTCTGAGGGCTAACCAAAGGGGTGTATTCCCAGCTGTCTCCAGTGTTGGAGCCCAGGGAAGTAGAGTTGGGCCCAGGGAAGTCACCCCAATTTGCTCTATCAAGAAACATTTTTCTATCTCGATGATCGATCGCTATGGGCTAGCACCTTTGTGGTCACTTCCACTAGCCCTTATTCTCCTGCGTTCTCTCACTTTTCTCTGTCAGCTCATCCTGGCTCACTGAATTCTTCTAAGTCATAGGGTTTATAGGATCCTCACTGTACAAGGGTTTGTATAGAGACCCACCCTAAGGGTTTCTGCCAGCAGCAAGGCAATTCTCAGACCCAAAGGGAAGCTATGGTGATGGATTTGCCATTATCCTACCAGCAAGGCTCTGAGGACAGAGATCACAGGTGAGGAAGTTGCAGGTATTTAGGACTTGCAAACTAAGATAAACTTCCACCTTCAGTAGTGTGGCTACCCAGTCAAGGAAAGCCAGTGACTGGCCTGCCATGAGGAATTCTGTCTCATTCGTATGTGTTTGTGGTATGTTCCTGTACGTACATATGAAGGCAATGTGTATATGCAGGTTCACACACATATGTATATGCACACATGTGGAGGTAAAAGATGTCACTCTTCAAGTGATGCCCATCTTGCTTGTTGAGACAGGGTTTCTGGTTAAACTTAGAACTCACCAATTCAACTAGACTGGCTGTTCAGTGAACTCCAGGATCTACCTGTTTCTGTCGTCTCCCCAACAATGTGGTTGCAAGTATTCACCATGCCACTTGCCTTTTTCAGGTGGGTCTGGGGCTTCAATGTAGATCCAGGGATTCTACATCAAACACATCATTGCCTGAGCCATCCTCTGAGCCTATGCAGTCTTGAGCTTGCAGGAAGAATGACTTCCTGCTTCCTTCTCTCATACCATGCCTTCTCCAGCTCAGCTGTACTTAGATTTGTAGTCTGCACAGTGCACTCACCAAATGTTGCTTTAGTTTTAGGGATATTGAACAATTCTTCCCAGAAGTCTCTGCATCTGGTGGCCATCCTATTCCTGGTCCTGAGTCTGGCAGCTTCTGTGCTGAGCTCAGTGTTCACCTTCTACAACAGCATCAGCAACCCTTACCAGACGTTCCTGGGACCTATGGGCGTCTACACCTGGAATGGACTTAGTGGTGAGTTTCCTGAGAAGACTCATTTACACATACATGCATACACATGTGCATATGCATACACACATTGATGTATGCTCATGAACACACATGCACACTGATGCATGCTCATGAACACATATGCACATACATTACATACATTTGCTCTCCATCTTGCCTTCATAAGGAGCAACATGGACTCCAGAGTTGCCATACCTGGGTGGCCAAGCCACAGAGCCAAGAAAGGATGCCATCTGGGGCCAACACTCTTCTTGTGAGCTAGTGTGCTGTGTGGTTGCTAGGTGATTTTGTTATTTTGTGTGTGTGTGTGTGGGGGGTTATGGTGTCCAGATGGAGAGTGGATCTTGTTGTGACTTAGGCAAAAGATTCTCTGTGGGGTTTCTTTTCATGTACTTCATCCCCTACTTTTGCCCAGTGGGACTGACATTTAGAGATTAAGGGACTTGGATACAAATCCAGACATAGGTCCTCAGTGTCAAGGGCCCCCCATTTGCCACCAGACCTTGCTCACTGCCAGGATAAACAGTGAATTGATCTTAGTTTCACTCATGGGACTCGGAGCCAGCAGAAGCAGTGCCCTCAGGCATAGCTGAATTTGGAGACCTTGTTGTGGGAAGTCTGCCTTCCTTCATCCCTGGATACAGTGATTTCCCAATTTGTGTTCTGTGGTTACACAGTTGATTCAATCCTCTTAAAGGTCAGATGTCTGTATACACTCTGGACTCCTGCAGTAGCAGTTTTAGAGGAAAGGACTATAATTTTCCAGGAGTCAGGAGAGTGTCCTGGGATCACTTCTCATCGGCTTACCCACTGATATGACCCGAACAATCTCTGAAGCCAAGATAGATAAATTGACTCATTAAGTTGGCTAAGGAGATTTGTCCATACTGGAGCTGGGCCCAGGGTCAGCTCTTCTCCAGCTTTAGAGGCACATAGGGGAGGAGGAATGAGTTCACACAGAAGGGGAGAGGACAGGAGACCAGGCTGGGCCAGTAGGTACTGCGCTGTCTGCAGCCCCGTGGGTCTTCCAGTTGTTCCCTGAGGCTGTAGTCTCATCCTTCTTCCTCTGCAGAGGAAGACAGGCTGACTACACAAATGTCAGAGGCCTATGTCTGTGGAGGAAAACAGGAAAAGGAATCTGGCCAGTCTCCCCTCAGCCCTGCCTAACATCTAGCCATAAAGGGCTATGTTGTGGGAGAAAAGTCCCCACAGGTATCTTCTGCCTCAGGGGTATATTCTAACACAGAGGGAGTGGCTCTGGGGTGGACAGGAAAAACCACTTGTAATAGCTGTGAAGAGGAAGTTATGCATTCTGACTTGGATCTAGAGGAGGCCTTTAGGCAACCACAAGAGTTGGGAGTAGCCTGTCCTGATGCTCAGTAAACTGGATTCTGTGTTCACATGCCCTCAGAAAGCCTTGATTTTCTTCCCTTGTCTGAGGGGATTACAGAGTTTAGTGAAAACTTGGTTTGCAGGGTGCTGATCCTTCAGAAAAGTCTCTGTGAGGCTTTGAAAATATAGCTTTCTGGCCTTTGGACCACACTGAGTGGAGGGCTGAATCCAGGCCAACTCTAAGGCCCTGGGGCCAGTGAGAAAGCTACAGTCCCCTGAGGTGCTAGGCTTGCTGTTCTCCTGGGCTGGCAGGTTGTGAGCTGATCCAGTGGGCAGAACAGGAAATACATTTCCTGGTTCATTTCTGGCAGTGAGAAACAGCAAGAACACTGCCTGAGGCTTGTGCCCCGGACATCTCAGCTCAAACTGGCCCAATATGGCTGGAGTTAGCCTCAGGGGGTTTAAAGGTAGCTAGAGAGGAGGTTGGATCTGGACAAATCTGCACAGCACAGTCTCCTCAACACAGGAAGTAATGAGTATCATGGCTCAGCAGAGAAGGGCTGATGGTCAGAAGCCCATGTCCCTAAGCCTTTAAGAACTACTTCCCTCTTTTTATCTACAACTCTGGAGAAACTGTGCAGCTAGCCAGGCCTAGAGATACAGGTCTATACTTCCAAGTGTTAGAAGGCTGAGATGGGAAGATCCCCCAAGTTCAAGATTGCCTGGTTTCAGGGGGAGCTCAAAGCCCTATTTTCAATATAAGTAATGAAGAAGGTTGGTGTAAAGTACTTGCTCACTGTTTTTGAGGTTCTGTATTTAATTTCCAGTACTACAGGAAGGAAGGAGGGATGGGAGGTAGGAACTGAGGGAGCAAGGGATAGAGGAGAGGAGGGAGGGAAGATAGATGGAAGAAAGGAAGGAAGAAGGAAGAAGGAAGAGTATTCAGTTAACCAGAGGCAGTGTGAAGCCCACGGCTCCAGGCATCTGCCTTTAAAGTACCTGGATAGGCAAGGTGTCTGTGTGCCAGCCTTTCCCTGTGAAAATCAAAGCCCTAGACAACCCACTTTAGGATAAAGTCATTAACCTGTGTATGTTCCACCCCTTTACGATTAATTAAGCTTTTATAAGAAACTTCACAAGAGGAAAATGAAGGATAATGAAGGTGTGAGAGGGTGCATCAGAGGAACGAGACTTTTGTTCATGCAAATAATTAAGAAATACAGCCATTATTTTGTGGGTGAGGTGTGTCATCAAGGGCTGTTCAAACATTCTCTTCACGCAACCCCCACCCCTAATTAGCTTCCCTCAGAAGACCATTGGGGGAGCTTCCTTGTCATTGGGTTAGGACACAGTTTGATGCCTGAGAGTTCACTGAACTGTGCACGTTCTGTGTGCATCACCATATTAAGGATCTCAGAAGGGCTTCATCTTGGGGATCCCCCTGATGTATCAGACCCCACCTGGGCATGAGCAAACCATCCTTACCCTCATGTTCCCTGAAACAATTCTTTTTTCCTGCATTACTGATATATGAATCACCTGCCCATACATTACTCACTTAAAGCACACAGTTCACTGGGTTTTGACATGTTCTCAGACACTGTAGATATCACTAAACCATCATTTTAGAAATATTTTCACCAGCTCAGAGAGAGATCTCACGTCTCCTGGTTACAATCTGCTTCTCACCCTGCCTAAGCAACTATGAATCTGCTTTGCTGTGGCTACTGCCTGGTTCAAGGCCACACTTGGCTGAGTCGTGCAGAGTGAACACCTGCAGCAGCTGTCTAAAGCTTCCCTGAGTCCAGGCCCAGCACTTGAGAGCCTGTGCTTCTCTTGTTCTTGGCAGGACTCACTCCTCACAGTTAGCAGTGTGCCTGACCCACTGCCCTCGCCTGCTCTGGTAGAGGTGACTTCTTTCACCTGTGATGCTGGTGCTTGTCCGAGTCCATTCACATCTCCGTGTACATTCACAGTGTCTACTCTGTGCCCTGTCCACTCCTTCACACCTGCTACCTATGTGACCTTAGAGCACACACTGCATGGTAGACCAGTTGCCCAATGATAAACTCTGACTGGATCTGCCCAGAATAATAATTTCATGCCTAGAATCTAGTTTATATCTTACATTTTATTTTTACATTTTCCTTCATCCTGAAACACTATAGAACCCCGTGTAGCTATGCAGTAAATGCTTTTGGATTATGCATCCCATTAAGAAAATAAGTGATATTTAAAATGCATCAAAGTGTGTGTGTGTGGGGGGGGGGGGTTAAAACACAGCTGGAGAGATGACTTCTGCTCAATCATAAGGACCTGAGTTCAAATACCCAACCCCACCCCACCCCATGAGTGGTTCACAAACACCTGTAATACCTGTTCCAAGGGATTTGGTGCCCTATTCTGGGCCCTGTGGGTGGGTACCTACACATATGTATGAATACATTAATACAGACGCATGATCATATACATATAAATAAATAACTTTAAAACATAAATCACAATGGTAAGTAGGTGGCTCAAGGAGTAAAGTCATTGCTACAAGAGAAATAAGGACTAGAGTTCAGATCCCAAACACCCAAGAAAAAAGGCAGGGATAGGGATAGGGCACACATCTGTAACCATGTCCTGGGTGAGCAGTGAAGTAAGACGGGGCTCTCAGAAGCTTGCTGCTCAAACAGGGAATTTCATCTTCAGTAGGAGACTCTGCACATACCTCAGAAATGCACACACACGCATGCATACATGCATAGACACAAATAATGTTAATGCTTTGGGTGTCATTTATGATGCTCAATCTTCCTTGCAGCATCCTTTGTGTTTCTGGCCATGGTTCTGTTCGTGGGGAATGCTGAGTCCAACCATCTCTCAGAGGAGCTGTCCCAGAAGCTTTATCCAGATACCATTAACGAGAGAACAACCCACACTTATGGATACTCATTTTGGCTCATCCTGCTTGTCATCCTTCTGAATATTGTCACTGTGGTCATCATCATTTTCTATCAGAAGGCCCGATACCGGCAGAAGCAGGAGCAGAGGAAGCCAGTGGAGTATGCTCCAAGGGATGGCATTTTATTCTGAGTCCTGTCTCATAGCACACTTGCGTCATGTCTGCCCAACTGGCTCGCTCCTCTGGACACTGCATGGCAGAGCAACTGTCAGGTGCTATATCTTCTGGAACCATGACACCATGTCCTTCCTGTAGATGGTACTTGTACCTTTCTCCATGGACATTCCCCTGAAAAGAGTTTTCACCTAGGATCAGGAAAATGAGTGGGAAAGGCTGTGGTCTAGAGTACTCCAAAAGGGAGTGGTCTGCGGCCTGCAGGTCCTTCTCATTTGACCTTGCCATCCACAATAATAAAGGTCTGTGGGGGTTTTTGCCTTTCCTGTGACTAGGTTAATAGACTGTAGGCCCTATGACCTTGTCCTCTGGATTGATCAGGCATTTCACTCCATGATAAGTATAAAGACTTTTAGGTAGAGAAGCACTCTGAACTTGCTTTTCCAGTCAGTAGTTAGATACAGAAGGATAAAGGATGGGACAACCTCGTGTTCTGGTCCCTTGGTGGCTGTCATGGCTTCCAGGCTTAGCTCCTTTAATGAGGGCTAGACACTTATGGAACTTGGGCCTTGGGAAACCCTGCATGAACAGGTTAGAGGTAAAATATGGTCTTTTCCAATAAATAGGAAGTCAGCAAAATAGCAAAAGCACCGAAATTTATTCTACATGTTTTCTAGTACAACATTTTCTTTTAAAAGTCTAATTGGAAACCCTTCAGCCTTGACTATCCTATAAGTTGCCACAGTGAAAACTGACAGACCTGAAAAGTGATCCCCTTTCATGTGCTTATCGATAGAGTCTTAAAGCAGTAGCTCTGTGACAAGTAGTGGATCTTATGAAGCCCAAAGACTCATAACTCAACACTCAGACTTAGAGATGTCAGCTGGGTCCCACAATGTTGGCAGCAGTGTGCTGGGTCCTCAACCTTGTGGTGTTTACTATCTGGCAGACAAAAACAGACATTTAATAAGCTCTTACTTGACTCCAATTAAAACAGCTGCTTAGGGTTGAGGGTCACCCTTTCATTGTAGAACACGAAAGTACCTAGCATGTGACAGGCCCTGGGTTCCATCTCTACCTCTGCAAAAATGAAACAAACATGTAATGACAAAACTGTACTTGTGGTTTGAAAGGATGGATCTCTATCATGCTCTACCTTGAAGACCTGCTTAGTCAAGATTACTCTTACTCACTAAATTATTAAAAGTTTACTATACTATTTCTTTGTGAGTGTGTGTGTACATGCTGTGATGTGTGTGTATGTGTCTTTGTGTACGGCGGTCAGATGACAAGCTTCAAGAATGGATTCTCTCCTTCTACCATGTGAGACCTGGGGTTCATCATGTCATCAGACTTGGTGGCAAGCCCATTTACCTACTGAGCTACCTTGTGGGCCTGCTACTAAATTATTATAAGGTTTGGGTTTGGGAAGCAATGGCTTAGTGGGTAAAAGTGCTTGTCACCAAGCCTGATGCCCCTGTCCACTCTTCATCACCTTCACAGTGAAAGTGCTGACTCCTGCAAGTTGTCCTCTGACCTCCATGCATGCATTGTGGCATGTGCATGTCTATAGACACAGTCATACTTTCCTATACAATATACAAAATAAATACATGAACATAAAAAAGTTTAAAATGACTCAGTCATGTTCATCTGAAAAACTGGAAATATATTTTAAAAATATGACTATAAATGTAAAAAAATTAAACTCTGAGTCTATAAACATTTATAGTCTTTGAAGGCATGAGCTTTCTATTAGATTTTTTGATAATGTGGTCATGTAATAAAGAAGAAACAGATGTGGGTGCTGGCCCATGCCCATGATCCCACCTATCAGAAATCAGAAGATTGCCACAGCTTTGAAGTCATTTTGGTATCTTGGGAGTTCTAGGCTAGCAGAGCTTCATAAAGAGATCATCATGATTTGAATGAGAAATGTCCCTCACAGGCTCAGGTATTTGAATACTTGGTCCCCAGGTGGTGGCACTGTTTGGGGATGCTATGTTACCTGTAGGGGGTGGAGCCTTGCTAGAGGAAGTCTGTCACTAGGGTGGACTTTGGAAATTCATAGGCTCATCTCACTTCCTGTTTTCTCTCTCTGCTTCCTGCTCCTGAAGTCTGCCCTGACAGTTGCCACCACAGCTCTCCTTGACATTGTAGACCCTCCTTCTGGAATTATGAGCCCAAATACATTCTTTTCTTGTAAGTTGCCTTGATCATGGTATTTTATCTCAGCAACAGAAAAGCAATTAATACAGATGGTCTTGCCTCAAGCCAGCAAGCATACAAACAAAACCACTACTTTGTCTTATGATGAGGTAGGTTACAAGGTTCATTCACATTTGTAAAAGAAAGAATATAAAACACTATGCTCGCTAGATGTGTTGGTACGTGACTTTGGGAAACTGAGGCAGAAAGATCAGGGATTCCAGGCAAGCCTGGGCTACTTAGAAAGACACATGAGGATAAAAAGAAAAGTAAAGAAGTGAAAAGGGTAAAATAAGTGAGATATTATACTCACTGACAATAAGAACATGACACTTAGGATAAGAACTTTGGAGAAATCATAGTTTACACCGTATCAAAAGGATTGGATTCCCCTGATCATTCAATGCTTAGAAGGCACTGTTGGAGGTAGGATGTAGGCTGGAAAAGCTGCCAGCATCAGAATTTGGTTTTATTATCTCAGCAATCATAAGTTAGGTAGAGATGGAAGCTGTGTCCTCTTGGACATGACATTGAATGTGTATGAGTGTGTTGTGAGGTGTTTCTCAATCACATCCAGCCTCTGTGATCGTCATTGTGGGCACTCTCTGAATGTCACAACAAAATTACAGGTATACACCTCAGCTCCCTCCAGTCTTTCGAAGCCTGTCAGAGGCCTGAGCACTGAGAAGGGCAGGCTATGCCCCTCAGAGCTGCTTCTCACACATACCTAGGGTTCCTCAGCACCCTCTTTCTCTTACATGGCAACCAGCCCACAGACTTCTATGTGGACTTGAAGTCAATCTACCATTGTCTAATGTCATATCTTCTACAATCCAAGTAAGCAACCAGTCCAGTCTGCAGACAGGACTGATATTTCAGCTGGGTCTCCCTCGTCTCTTAGCATCCTAGTCCTCTCCCTACCAGGCAACCCAGAACCCCAGAAACTCTTTGGGATTCTTTTTGATGAGATGCCCTCAGACAAGGTCACCAGGCAGTATGTGGAAGCTGACCCCTCATGCAGCTGGAGGAATGTGCGTTAGCTCAGATGCCTCGACTCTCTCAGTAGGTGGGTGCCTGGCTGTCATGATGACATTAATGAGTAGCTTTGCTATCTCACTGCCAACTGTAGGAAGTGGCAGAGTCCAAGCTATTTCCCCTCCCTTAGTTTCTTACTCACGTGTAAGACATGACTGAATAACAGGAGGGACAACCATGGATAACAGTCATCAAACAGAGAACCCTTGGAGCCAGGCTTCTGGGAGTCACCAGAGAGATAGGAGGGCAGCCACAGTGTAATACCATGGCCTGGTGAGAATGGCCTGCGTGCTCATGCCAAGGGCTCCATTCCTGGAACTGGGAGTCTGTAGTTTGTGTGGAAGGAGAGAAAGACACCAACGTGGTCACTCTTGGAGTTTGCAGGCTACATAGGTCCCCTAGCTCCATAGAGGAACAGACAATACACAGAAAAACTAAGCCTAGCAGCAGATCTGAAAACAGCTCTCAGGCCCTTCCACACACGTGTGACCCAGTGCTGTGACCAGCCATTGACAGATCAACCAAGCTCCTGGCCTCTGGTTTCTGTCCCAGAGGAAGTGAGGCATTCCTGATGGACTTTTACAGAGACCAGGATGCCATGCTCCATTCTACCCTGTTTGCACCTCCCATTCGTTCACCTTCTACAGGAAAAGACACCCATTTGTCTTAAGTGAGCCTTTCTGTGGACTTGGATGCTCATCTGAGCTGGAAGGGGGTCTCTCCTACAGAGCCACCACATACCCTAGGAGGTATGTGGAAGGAGGAAGGAGGTATCCATGGCAGGCTCCACACTGCCAAGATCTGGTTTTGGTGTTAAATATTTAGTAAAAGGGAGGAGACATGCTCTGTATTTCCTAGCCAGTCGTTGTCATTGTCACTTTTCGAAGACTTCCCCCCTGCTTTTTGATCCCTTCCTGCTAAACAGAACACATACTTCTGGCTTTTGCCTTGGTCCCTAGTGGACTGGCCACCTGTCTGCATCTCTTGAGAAACCTCTGCTTTGACTAATATGGGTCTCATGTAGATCACTGTGCTGTCCCCAGAGTCCCCTTTCTCAGTCAATGCCACACCCACAGCTGTCACTGTTTCCCAGATGCACACTGTATGCTCACCTAAACGCTGCACACTGGAGATCCTACAGAGCCCTGGCAGCAAAGATACACACTGCTTTCTTGTCAGCCCTGTTTATAGCAGAGCCACTGTGACGCAGGCTGGCTTAGCTGGGTATGGGTCGTCCCACACTGAGCAAGAGGCTGAGCAGAATTATGAGTCATGCTTTCAGTGAAGCTGACAGTGACCCCGGGTGTATATACAGTGGCTGTAAAAGTCAGAACTACATGTCCAGGACTAGACTTTGGACTCCACTCAGCCACCCCAGGCACGAGTCATTTTAGTTACTGAGTGTGCTAGATTCTTACTGTGTTGATATGGGTAGACATTCATCTTTTGATTAGAACTATAATCAGTTTCATTGGCACACAAACTGCACGTTTTCTTCCCTGGTTTCGAAAAGAGGTCCTGGGTTTGAGGTAGATACCATATCTCATGATGCCGTCACAGTGGTACCTAGGGATTATTCTGCTGGTAGCCATTGGTACAGCAAAGAGAGCAAACACTGTGTCAGAAACTCAGGTCCAGTGGCTCCTCTGCAAGCAAGTGTTCACAGCTCAGTTCCAGCATGGAGGATGCAGAGGCAGGAGCAGAGTGAGGAAGGGGACAGCAATACCGTGCTTACAGAACAGTGGACAGGGAGTCCAGATGACAGGTGGCAGGCGGAATGGAACTGCTGGAGCTAAGGGAACTCTCAAGGGCTTCCTAAACAGATGGGAACAGTGGTCCAGCGAGAGGGGGGATTGGCTCCACTGCCAGTGCTCTGACCTCAAACAAGGGCTGACACCAGCCTTGAGAATGATCTGCTGCATACAAAGGGGCAGGAGAAACCATGGTTTGCTTATAACTGCTTGCTCATTTGTGAAATAAAATGAGTGAAGGAACAGAAAAGTTGGGATGCTTAAAGGTGTTTTTATTCTTTTTAATTTCATTGAGTTTATTTTTTAAAATATTCACATGTAAAATGAATAAATTAATGGAGAAAAATGTGCAGAATAAATGAATGAATGAATGAATGAATGAATGAATAATAAATAAATGGAGAATAAATCATATAAACATTAAATCTAACAGTGTCCATTTCCCAAGTGTGCAGGTCATGAAGAACACTGTAGAGAACACCCCTGAAAGATATTCATTTTTGTGAATGCTATTATTTTACAAACTTTTATATCAGTTGTTACATGGGGATTTTACACTTCTGGAGAGTTCCGTAGATATACTCTTTTTAGCATTCACCTAGCAAATACATTGAGTGGATGATGGTGGTGGTGATGGTGGTGATGGTGGTGGTGGTGGTGATGGTGGTGGTGGTGGTGATGGTGGTGGTGATGGTGGTGGTGGTGGTGGTGATGGCGGTGGTGAGGATGGCAGTGTTGGTGAGGATGGCAGTGTTGGTGAGGATGGCAGTGTTGGTGATGGTGGTGGTGAGGATGGCAGTGTTGGTGATGGTGGCAGTGTTGGTGATGGTGGTGGTGAGGATGGCAGTGTTGGTGATGGTGGTGATCGTGTTGGTGGTGGTGGGAGTGGTGGTGATGAGCTAGAAAGACTCCTCTGAACAAGCTTCACAGCTGAACTCCAACCAAGTCAACAAACACATTACATCGGGTAGACATAACAATTTTTCAGAAAATGATTGAAAATTCTTCCTGCCTCAAGCTGTCTGTTCTTAGGACCTCTTGGTAGTCTTAAAAATGACTAGAGATAAGGAACTCTTATTTCTGTAGGTGACATCTTATTGTTTTTAAAATAACAACAGAAATACTGATCATGGGTTGGAAATACAGCTCGGTTGGTGAAGTGTTGAGCTGAGACTGACCCTCAGGATCCAAGTGAAAAGCTGGGCATGGTGGTGTGCACTCATG